TTTTTTTTTTTTCTTTTTTCTTTCTTTCTTCTTTTTTTTTTTTTTTTTCTTTTACAGAGGAATACTTTTTACGCAAAAGTAAATGTGTGTTGCACTTAATCCCGATGTACAGTCCTTTCATTTATCCGACATAATATGATTGTTTTCCTTCATGTTCCTTTCCGTCTTTCCTTCTCTTCCCCCTTTTTTTCTTTTATTATTTTGTACTTTTATATTTATGTTGTAAATAAGATGAACACAGGTGGTAATTAACGCGGAATTGTGTTGTCGTGATAAAATTTTTAATTGGTTCGTGTTATTTCATTTCGATATAATAGATTGGTATCGTTGTTCAATGTAATGGAGTGTTCTCTAAGCTTTTTAATGATTTGAAAGAGACGAGATTTTAAATTAAATTAAATATGATTGATCGATGATAAAGGATTACGACGCTATTGACCAAGAGAAAAAAATTTTTTTTAAGGAAGACACAAAAAAGTGTTTTATAATTATAAAAATTATTGATCGTCAGTAATGATGGGATCGAACTTATCGTAAGTAATAGTTAAATATAATTATATATATGATATGATATGATTTCTATGATTTTACTAAAGAATTATAAATAGAAACGAGTCTCAATTAAATACGTTTAAAGTATTTATTGATTTAAACTTAAATAAATAAATCGTTAATTATATATAATGTATTAATTAACGTATAAAATATAATGTATAGGGCTGTTTCAATAAAATTTACTTTCTTCAAAAATTGTTATCACTACATCCTAAAATCAACCCTTTTGATCACATATATTAAATTTAAATGGAATTTGTTCAAAACATAGTAATTAATTTGTTTAACAAATTTTTTTTTATATTATCGGTGAGTATTATAAACTTAATAAAACAATAATAGATTTTTCCTTTGCTTGTATATCATAAAAATTACTCGATATTGATTCCTATAAAAATTCACGATATAATTAAAACAAATTTCAATTTAAGATCATATTTTGTTCTCTATTAACTTATTCGTACTATAATTTTTATTAATGCAATTATTTTATGATTTTATAATAATGTTATTTCGAATTGCACAATTACAATAATATAATAAATATCTGATCGATCATGAAATACAACAAAAATCGAAAATTATTCAAAAAGTTATGATAAATTAGAGATGATTATTTTATCAATATTGATTCGTTCACTTGTCGCAATCTCTACGATTATCTTCATACATATATCACACAAAAATTACACTTGTACCTCGTCAACAAACACGCGTTAAGTCTGATCAATGATCGTGCTCTACGCTACGTATTTTTTTTTTCTCTTGGTCAACGCGTGCGCGTTTAAATTCCCAACCAATTTTTATTAGCGGGAAAAAATTCGTATCTCTTTTTCTTTCTTCTGTACGCGATATACATCTCCCTTTTTCGAATCTCAAAAAAAAAAAAAAAAAGAAAAGAAAAGAAAAAAACTCGTGCGTAGTCCCGCGGGGATACATCTATCGATCCATCACCGTCCCTCGATCCTCTCTCTCGCGCGCCAAACCGCTGCACGACACTTAGAAGAAGGGTGAACGCGTGAACGACCTCGCTTCTCGGGGGTGGAGGAGAAATGTGGTGGCTTTAAAAAGCGAGGCGTGGAGGAAAACTTCTCTTCGGTAAGAGAGGCAAGGGAAGAGAAAACGTGTATAGATATATATACGTGTGGCACGATCACGGCCTTGATTCGTAAGTAGGAGGGTAAACGATGGGAAAATTAGTGGGGAGGTAATAAAAAAAAAAAAAAAAAAAAAAAAAAAAAAAAAAAAAAAAAAAAAAAAAAGAGAGGAAGAGGCGAGCTATAAGGGAGGAAAAGAGGAGAGAGGCGGAGGAGACGAAGGATGAGGAGAAGGAGATAAGGAGGTGGAGGAGGCAAAAGGCGAAGAGGGAGAAACTGAGACTGAGAGAACGAGAGAGAGAGAGTATACATGAGAGGAAAGAAAAAGAGAGAGAGAAAGAGAGAAGCGATCGAGCCGCCGTCGACACAGAGTGGGCCGCGGGCGGCTCGTCGTCGTGTAGGTCATGTTGGGAGGCCAACAGTTGAAAGTGACTTGTCTTGTGTTGATGTTGCAGGTTCAAAAGCCTGGCACATGCGGCTGACCTTTGACCGGGTGCCAGGCGGCTGCAACCTTCACAGGTGCAAGCTGTGCGGCAAGGTCGTGACGCACATCAGGAACCACTACCACGTCCACTTCCCCGGCAGGTTTGAGTGTCCTCTCTGTCGTGCCACGTACACACGTAGCGACAACCTGCGCACGCACTATAAATTCAAACACCCCGAGGCAAGAAAGGTCGATCTAAACGATTTCGTGACAGGCACCTTGGCGCTCTCCGCGATGAGTAAATATGATGATACCATGAACACGCTGTCCTAAAACGCGAGATGGACCGTGCACGCGTCTGTATATATCTTATACATATATATATATATATATATTTACACGTACGTACACGCGCCCCAAAAGCAAGAAAACCAGAAAAAAAGTAACAATGAATATATATATTATACATATAAAGATATAAGATTAATATATTTGTGATACGTTTTTGAAAAGTCGATTCTAAAGATCAAAAAAAAAAAAAAAAAAAACATTAGAAAATTGATATGTAAAAATTTCAATCTTGTTTATTAAGTTATTAAGCAATTTAAGTTTACATTAGACGAAGCTAGGCGAAAATGGAGTGAAATCTGTCTCTGTTGCATCGCTATCGCTAACTCTGTTCATCTAACGTAAATTCAAATTGCTATAACTTAATAAATAAACTTTTAGAATTGATCTTTCAAAGGTGTTTCACGAATATATTAATACTTTGTGTATAATAAGAAAAAAAAAAAATTATAAAGAGAGCGCGGGTGGCTGCGCCGACAGGGGGGTATTGTCGCACTTTTAGATCATAATAATACGATACGGCCCTGATGTCACGGCCACGCAAAGGCCGGTCTCTCTCGGCTTTTTTCTTTTTCGAACACCAAATCTTTTATAGGTTCTACGCTTAAGAAATCGACGGGATTCTCCTATCGCATGGGAGAAGGGGAAGGGGAACTTTTTTTGTAAACACATGATGTGTACGACGTTTAGTGTGCGACATTTTTTGGGGTGGGCTTGTCGTGTTAGTTAGCGAGTAAAAAAAAAGAAAAAAAAAAAAAAAAAGAAAATTGAGAGAAGAAAAAGCGAGCGAGCAGAGCGCCGCGCACAGTGAGTTACGCGCGTGCGCAAATATATTGTAAGGGGACATTCGTGTGGTGCGCACGCGCGAGAACGATCGGTCGGCAAGAGCAGCGGCGCACGCGCATGCGCGTGGCTGCCGCAGTCGTTAACCGCGGGAACTTACCTTCGACGGGCCGATTTTTAAATTTGATTCGTCTTTGGCGCGACTCGAACCGGGTTTTTTACGATCGATCACGATGCGACGATAAAGTTCCTTCTCGATTGCTGGCGAATTAGCCGTTTGTTGTTTGTTGTTGTTTTTTCATTGACGATCGACGCATCCGAGAAAAGATAAGTGAGTGCCCGAAACGAATCAAAATTGGCGCGGGTCGCTTTTTGTATATCTCGGCTTTCACGCTCGCGGGACCGATCGGTAACGCGCGGATGCGCATGCGCGCATATGAACGCGCCTCACGACGCATGCGCGTACACTCGTACGCAAGTCGGCCGCCATGCAAAACGCTGTTTTCGAACAATGTCCAAAGACCGGGCAGCTTTATTTTTTTTGTGGTGACGAGCGCTGCGCCGATCGACGATACTAAAGAAAGTTAGCTCGGGAGAATTCACGATTCGCGCATTATTGCTATATAAATATTATTATAAATATTAATGGGAGATTTAACGGAATTACATATTATATATATATATATATAAAGTGGGAGCAAACGTGGTGCCAATTCCTCCCGTAGTTGCTGCTGCCTATCGGCCGATACACGCCGATTTCGACAGCTAAGAAAAAGAATTATAACTAATCGATTAATTAATTAATTATTAATTATTAATGCGGATTTACTGGAAATAATTCATTCGATACGCAGGGTGAGTCGTATAGTTGTTGAAGAGTTTATAGTTGGACTTCATATTAGAGTGTAATCGTGTGTTTCATCGGCGTTTCATCGGGAATCGTTGGCAATATATTACGCCCACATACATACGTGTAGATCCGAGTTCTTTGAGCTTTCAGACGATGTGAGAGATCTCGGGGAATATTTGCCACGTGGATACAGATCTACACATATACAATCATTCAAGACATGGGCACTCAAGGTATATATATATATATACGTACACACACACACGACGAGAGAGGCGGGCGTTTGATACACCACATTAATATGCACTCACACATATACACGCACACGTGTGATACACGTACGGATACAGAGACAGAAGACACGGAACATGCAGCCACACGACAGTTCGCGTCACTTCCGTAATTATCGGAAGTACGGTGACACGCAATATTAATCGACTAACAACGAAATCTTTTAGTCCTATGCATCGTTTTTAATGGTCTTTTTTTTCTTTTTTTATAGTAATAAGGTGAATATGATGATA